ACTTATTTTCAATCCAACATCACTCTAACATTCCTTAATTTTGCAGTGTTTCTGAAGATAGTCTTTGAATTTCTTCCAATCTTCCTCCATCGACTCTTCTCCCTGGTCACGGATTCTGCCAGTCATTTCCGCCAATTCCATGTAGTCCATAAGTTTCATCTGCCATTCCTCCAGCGTGGGAAGTTCTTGTGTCTTCCAATACTTTGCGATGAGTATTCTTGCTGCTGTTGTTGCATACATAAAGAAAGTTCTATCCTTTTTAACACCATTTGGCCCACTATGCCCAGGAGAAAGGCCTCTGGTTTCTTAGGGAAGGTATACTTAAATACCTTTTTAATTCATTATATATCATTTCCCAGAAAACCTTAATCTTTGGGCACGTCCACCAAAGGTGAAAAATGTACCTTCAGTTTCTTTACATTTCCAACATTTGTTATCGGGCAAGTGATAGATTTTCGCAAGCTTGACTGGGGTTATGTACCACCTGTATATCATTTTCATAATATTCTCTCTTAAGGCATTACATGCCGTAAATTTCATACCAGTGGTCCATAACTGTTCCCAGTCAGCAAACATAATGTTATGTCCTACGTCCTGTGCCCATTTAATCATAGCCGATTTTACCGTTTCATCTTGAGTATTCCATTTCAGCAGCAAGTTATACATTCTTGACAGATTCTTGGTATTGGGTTCTAACAATTCTATTTCTAATTTTGATTTTTCCACCTGGAAGCCAATTTTCCTGTCTAATTTAAATGCCTCCATTATTTGATAATAATGAAGCCAGTCTCGCACTTTGTTTTTTAATTTTTCAAAACTCTGCAATTTCAGTCTATCTCCGTCTTGTTCCAAAATTTCCCAATATTTCGGCCATTTGACCTCCATATTGACCCTTTTCAAGGCTTTCGCTTCCATTGGTGACAGCCACCTTGGGGTTTTATTTTCTAGCAAATCCTTATATCTAATCCAAACATTACATAATGCTTTCCTGACAATGTGGTTTTTAAATGCTTTGTGTGCTTTGACCTTATCATACCATAAATATGCATGCCATCCAAATACATTATTGAAACCTTCCAAATCCAAAATGTCAGTGCAAAACGCATTTAGAATGAAGGCAAGAACAACTAAGACAAGGAAATCTCCGGGAGACTGTCTAATTATATTCAAGGACAGAGAAATGAGAAATATGATCTTGCAGAAGAACAGAGAGAAAAGATTGAATATTGATGGGAATTATATAATTATTTTTAAAGATATACCAATCAGACTGTTGAAACGGAGAGATCCATATAAACCATTGGTTCAAATTTTAAAGAAGAACAAAATAGAATTCAAGTGGGAATTTCCAGAGGGGATCTCTTTTTTCTATGAAAGTAAGAAACACAAACACACAAGCTCAGAGGAAGCAAGCAAGTTTCTGAGAAGATACAAGGAATTAAGACCAGAAGAGGAAGAAATAAGAGGTGCAGCAGCAGGAGCAGGAGCTACGGGGGAAAGTGGATTGGGAGAGGGAGAAGAAGAAGATGGAAGAAACACAGAAGAAGAAGAAGAAGAAGAAGAAGAAGAAGAAGAAGAAGAAGAAAGATTATAAAATTTTAAATAAAATTTAATTAATTAGGATACCAAGATGGCGTTAAAATTATGGAATTGGAATATTAATGGGATGATCACCAATAGTCAGCATGGATTTCTGAAAATAAGTCATGTCAGACTAACCTGATCTCGTTTTTTGACAGAATTACAAGCCTGGTGGATGAAGGGAACGCAGTGGATGTAGCCTACCTTGATTTCAGCAAGGCATTTGACAAGGTGCCCCATGATATTCTTGTAAAGAAGCTGGTAAAATGCGGTCTTGACTATGCTACCACTCAGTGGATTTGTAACTGGCTGACTGGACCGAACCCAAAGGGTGCTCATCAATGGTTCCTCTTCATCCTGGAGAAGAGTGACTAGTGAGGTGCCACAGGGTTCTGTCTTGGGCCCGGTCTTATTCAACATCTTTATCAACGACTTGGATGATGGACTCAAGGGCATCCTGATCAAATTTGCAGATGACACCAAACTGGGAGGGTGGCTAACACCCCAGAGGACAGGATCACACTTCAAAACGACCTTGACAGATTAGAGAACTGGGCCAAAACAAACAAGATGAATTTTAACAGGGAGAAATGTAAAGTATTGCACTTGGGCAAAAAAATGAGAGGCACAAATACAAGATGGGGGACACCTGGCTTGAGAGCAGTACATGTGAAAAGGATCTAGGAGTCTTGGTTGACCACAAACTTGACACTGAGCCAACAGTGTCACGCCGCAGCTAAATGTGCCAATGCAATTCTGGGCTGCATCAATAGGAGTATAGCATCTAGATCAAGGGAAGTAATAGTGCCACTGTATTCTGCTCCTGGTCAGACCTCACCTGGAGTACTGTGTCCAGTTCTGGGCACCACAGTTCAAAGAAGGACACTGACAAACTGGAACGTGTCCAGAGGAGGGCAACCAAAATGGTCAAAGGCCTGGAAACGATGCCTTATGAGGAGCGGCTAAGAGAGCTGGGCATGTTTAGCCTGGAGAAGAGGAGGTTAAGGGGTGATATGATAGCCATGTTCAAATATATAAAGGATGTCACATAGAGGAGGAGAAAGGTTGTTTTCTGCTGCTCCAGAGAAGCGGACACGGAGCAATGGATCCAAACTCACAAGAAAGAAGATTCCACCTAAACATTAGGAAGAACTTCCTGACAGTAAGAGCTGTTCGACAGTGGAATTTGCTGCCAAGGAGTGTGGTGGAGTCTCCTTCTTTGGAGGTCTTTAAGCAGAGGCTTGACAACCATATGTCAGGAGTGCTCTGATGGTGTTTCCTGCTTGGCAGGGGTTGGACCGATGGCCCTTGTGGATCTCTTCCAACTCTAATGATTCTATGATTCTATGATTCTAT